CCAGTGTCCAGTCTACAAAGAGGAGGGTCAATACAGAGGAAACATTTCTTCCACGCTTCCAATCAAAGCCAGCCATAGTAGAACAGGACCTTTGACTTATCTTCACATAGACCGAACTGGTAAAAGAAAGGAGCCAGGGGATCCTCCCAAGCCATGTTACCCCTGAGGAAAAGGTCCTCAAACGACCTTAAGAGTAAAAATAAATTGGTTTATCTGGGCCAACTATAAGGTCTTAAACACCCAAAAGGAAAGTATAACCAAAGATTAATGGGGTCAATATAATTTTTAAGAGTCCATATGTATAGCTAAAGACTACGTAACAAAAACCAATACCAGACAGGTGATACCTTCCTTTGAGTTATTGGCCAGGGAGGCCCAAAAGACTCCCAGACATTAACCCAGCATAGAACTGGGAAAATAAACAGCAGACTCCAATCTTATCTAAAGGAATATTGACAACCGATTGCTGCTAGATGAGGAACAGCTGATCTTCCTAAAACAAGGATCTCTAGCTAGGCTGACTAGATTCAGCAGATGGACAAGCACTGGGGAAAGGCTGGGGGTGCCAACAACACAGTGGACAGTAACAGGGATGACAGAGTATATGGGCTCCAGTGTGTGTGTGTGTGTGGAAGCTATGGGTCGCTGCCATTTGGTAAGTGGGTATACAGATAAGATTGTGTGGCATGTTCTATATGATATGCATACAAAAAAATCAACAAATTTTTAAAAAGATTACTTATTTGAAGAGGAAGCATAAAAATTTATTTCATGTTAAGTAGTAGAGGTGATAAACATTACGATTGAAATCTACCTGATGACCCATACTCATGTACTAAGGATCCGAGTGTAACCAACTGTGACTAGTAATAATAAGATACATAGAGATTATGTAGACACATGTGCCAATATCTAAGTGTTAGTAGCATTAAAAATGTAGGAAATAGCATATTTTAAAATGAAATGGAGATCTTCTTTAAAGGGTAAAAGCTCATTCAATTTTATGTCTTACAGGGTTTATACGGAGTTCAATATTGTATAACTGTATTAATTCAACTGTGAACCTAAAAATTTACAGCCACTTTCGAAAAAGATGTATCCTTACTCTGGAATGTGTTACTGAGTATGTTAAAGCCATAATGAAATGCTTCTTCTAAAAAAAAAGAAAAAAAAAAAGAAAAAAATGATGATCATGAAGGTGAACAGTAATTTTTTAGACATAGGTATTCACTTTTAAAAGTAACATGCTGGCAACACTGTCTCATTTACACAAAGTGTTCTTAAAACTTAGGCTGTCATTGACATTCTAGACCTAGAAGACCATCGGGAGCGAGAGATGGAGAAAGACCTGGCCTTGCTTCCCAGCAGGACACAGCTGAGAATATGGCTGACAACTCCATAGATGCCAACTCTTATCCTCCAGGGAGGACACCGGGCAGTGACCCAGCTTTGCAGTTGAGATGTTTTATATTGCAATATACACAAGCCCTTGGTTGTTAGATTAGAGTGTAGGAAACAGAGGAAGAGCAACAGTGTCTGTATACTGATAAGGAACAAAACCTTGCTAAATCTATAGACTTAGATGATCTGACCCAGGGACTCCTATATTCTTACTGGTATATCCTTGGGATTAGCCTCACCTAGTGAATTTCAGTAAAATCTGAAGACAGTGTAGGTATTCATTGCTCTTGGCAATCTTGTCTTTATCTAAGGTCTCATTTCCCATTTTCCCTATTCTTGCTTTGATATCCCTATGCCTTGGGCTATGGTACCCTTTTGTAGTGGGCTATTCACATTGTGAGTAGTCAGGAAGATGGCTGTAGGTAGAGGCTGTGAACACTGGGCAGGATGAGCACTCTGTAGAGGAGAGCCCTCCCACTGCCTTCCAAACCAACAGAGCTTGTGTTTGTGGCACCACCATCCATATGCTGAGTTTAGCCTCATTGAAGTTATTTTCAGTTAGGAAGCATAGAATATTTTAACTCCCTACAAACTTTGGTCTGAAACCAAACCCATCCAATGTGGCTTTAAATATTACACCAACAATTTTTTACCTGGCTCTATTCTCTGTGCACAGAATACACATGACATCTACTTATCTTCAAAATCCGCTTTCCTTAAACTTCCATCGGTAAAATGATTTTGGTGATAAATCCTTGATTGTGCAATTTGTTAAAATAAAATGTCAGTGTTGTAGAGTAAGTGAGGAAACCTTCAAACAGCCCCTCTACTCACAGTCTATGGGAGAAAGGCTGCACAGCTGCAGGAGAGGCAGGTACCACAAACGCCTTGGAAGAAAAAAGCCAGGTATGAGGAATAGCCAGCACAGGTGATCCGCCTGAACTACGGGGCTCAGGAAAGTCACCTTGGATGACAGGCCCAGAACAGGGAGTAGAATGTCCCAGGAAGAATCCAGCCAGTGCAATGATCCTGTGATTTCAAAGAACTTGGTGTGCTCAAAAAAACTGGCCAGTGATGCTGGGGCTGGTAGGAGGCCAGGGAGAAGCAGAGGAACAAGTGGCAGGAAGGAATCAGCAGGGCCAGATCCAGGGGCATTGAAAGTAATATTAAAATATTGTTATTTATTCTAAAGGTGATAAGAATCCATCAAAGGATCTAAGCTGTGCAGCAGATCATTTGATTTGTATTTCAAGAAATCCCTCTGCCTGCAGAGTGGTTAGTGAGCCATGGGGGCAAAGACAGAAGCAGAGACCAGTGAGCAGGCTACTTCCTTCAGGAGCCAGGTGAGGAGGCTGGTGACTGGGGCTGGGAGAGTGGGCAGAGGGCCCTAGGGAGGTTGTCTGTAAGGATCCTGAGTGTGTCTGTTGGGGTTTGAACCTGCCTCAGGCACCACTCAGCTTTGTGCCTTTGGGCACATAAGCTTTCTTCTCTAAGCTTTCCTTATTTACAGAACAGTGCTACTTACCTACAGAGGATCTTTAGGTTGTGAAGAATAAGGTAGGTGGCTTGTGAAAAGCCCAAGGTACCTTCCCCAATGTATACTGGGCACTCCCTTTGCTGACCTGACAAATACTGTCCAAGATCAGTTCCTGGGTCTGATTCATTCACATTTCCAATTCTTCAGCCTTTCTTGACACAACACAGAATCCTTAAAGATTTTAAGGTGATGATAGCTAATGATGTGGAAGGTGATGCTCGGCTTATGCTTCAAAGACTGAGTGGGAAGTTGGGAAGATGAAGAGATGTGCTAGGACGAAGAAGGGCAGTCAGACCAGGGCATGGAAAGATCTCAGCTGCCAGTGCCTTCCTGATTCTGCAGTCCTGGCAAAGGAAGAACCTCGAGAAGGATATTGAAAGAAAAATCAGGGGGTCGGGGAAGGTTTAAAACCCAGCATCCTGCAAACCAGGCCTCAGAAACTGACACAACCACCCAGCACCTGATGCCCCCTCAAAGCAGCACTCTGGCTGCTGTTCCGTGGGAAGCACTTGGAGATCACACAAGGACAGCTGGCATCTGACAAGGGTAGAAAACAATCTGCAAGGCCAAATTTATTTAGAGTTGTGAGTTCTGATAACACAGTGACAAGAACCAGAACTGGGCCTGGGGTTACACAGCCAGTGAGGAACCACCAGAATGTGGGCCATTCTGGTAGGCAATACCTTCTGATGAGCATTCCCTGCTTAAATCTGGAGAGATATGGGGAGGGGAGACAATGTGTGCTATTCTAACCTAAAGAATCAGAGGCACCCATGGGAGTACTCAGAGAAATGCTGAGGTGCCATGGGAGATGTGGGCTTTGGAGTAATGCAAGCTTGGGCAAGGCTTCTGCCTGCTGCTACCAGCGGGGCTTGGAGCAAGTGCTTTGTCCCTCTGGGCTTGACTTTCTCTGCACAAACAGGACACTTTGAAGCAGTGTGGCAGAGACTAGAGAAAGGTCCAAATGTGGAAGTAATGATGGAGGTGAGACTGGCCTGTTTCTGGCACTTGGTAAGTCTAAGTGGCTTGTGTGCAGGGTATGTGTGTGTGCTTACTAAATTCTGTCTCAAATGCTTCCCACAAGAGATCAGAAGCCGCTAATGGCTATGACATAAGTGCTGTGCAGGTGAGACAGATTCACGTTAAGCTCAAAGACTCATGGGAAAGAACTGCCCCAGCATTGACTATGGCTCACAGATGACAACTCTAGTAACAGTCAGAGACTGGTTATGGGTGTGAGTGACTGGAGGCACAACTATTTGAAAGATACTATATGCTACATGCTACAACCATCGACTCCTCACTCCACCAGCTCCTAACCTTCATTGTGATGGTGTTTGGAGAGGGTGTCCTTGGGAGATACTTAGATTTAGAAGAAGTGATGGTAGGGCCCTCAGGACGGGGTAAATGACCCCATGAAAAGAGACATGGGAAAGCTCTCTGTCTTCCCTCTGCTGAACTATGACCTGCTGAGGTATCATGTACACGATGGGGAGAGTTCTCACCAGAGCCCAGCCATGCCAGTACCCCGCGCAAGCACTTCCAGCACTGTGAGAAATAAATTCCATTTGCTGAAGCCACCCCAAGGCAGTCTGAAATGATCTACTCCTGAAGTAAGGATGATACTGAGGGGACAGACTCCACAGCTACTTTGTAAGTCACACTGAAAGTGTCTGGGATCATGGGATGTAGAAAAAAGGAAGAGCAATTTTCCCAGGTCTTAACCAGAGCAACTGGGACAGTGGGGGATAAATAGGAAGGGCAAATTTGGGTGTGCTGCAGAGGAAGAGATGTGTCTCAGGCATAGCACATGACTCTGTCCTGGCACCCAGAGGTGATAACAGGTGGTAGAGACTTGAACTCAGAAGGCTGAGCTGGACTAAAGTTATATACTTAGCACTGTCTGTAGAGGTGACTCACAATGGGACTGTCTACTGAATGCTACACTCAGAAAACAGGGCAGTTAACAGAGATGTGAGATAACGGAATGACATGGGCTGCATTTTATACTCCCACCTCCCCACAAACAAAACACAAATTAAAAAGCTATTTTTCAACATACTTGATCTTGTAGCAGGGTGCCTCCAAATGCCCAGACACACGCAAACACAAAATAAACTTCATAGACTTCTTTGGGGCTGTCAGAAGGCACATTCTCAGGAGTTAGCAAACACTCCAAAAGAGCACAAATAGTCTAGAGAGAAAGAAAAAGTCATTTATTTACAGAAATGACATTTTCTAAGGTGCGAATATTTTCTTCTAACTATACCCTGTAAGAGATTATGTAGTTTTTCAAAACTCAATGATTTTCTAAATTTGGAGACAGAAAAATTACTGCCTTGTATGTCTAAGTCAGTGGTGCAAATAAATTGTCACTTTTAATCAATCTGTGTAATAACAAACTATTTGAAAAACAAATATTTTCAAATGACTCAAATAATCACTAAACAAGTGACAGACACACACATGGACACACACACACACACGTATACATGCACACAGGAAACCATAACATGGTATTCTGATACCCATTTCTCACTTAAAAACACAATGAAGACATTTTTCCTCATCAATAAGTGTTGCTCCGCGATCCATTGGGACAATCCCACGGGGTAGCAGGCATTTAATGAACTATTTCCCTCTTCTTAGACACCAGGTGACCTCCTTTCCTTAGTGTGTTGCAGTCATTTTTTTCCACCTGTTGTCATAAATTTAGCATGTTGGGCTGGCAGTCCCTTGGCCTGTGTCAGGTTTTTTTTTTTTTTTTTTTTTTTTTTTTTTTTTAATATCAGCCTAAATTTAACCTTGGAACAGACACTATTCAGGAACTTGTTCTTCATACCCAGTAGGTGAAGTGACTGTGCTCTGCCTGTCTCAACCTTGGCTACCCTGGGTCCATCTCAACAGCACCAAGGAAAAATGGCTGCAGCAAAGTCCTTGGCCATAGGGACAATAGCTGGTAGTGAATGAACCTATTGTGTGCTCATTCCCCAAACCATAAAACAGTTGCTTTAATCAGTGTTATCAAAGACTCTCAGATCTCAACACACTCTTGCCCCAGGCTGTGGAAGCAGCAATACAACTTTATTAACATCACAGCCACAGTGATGGAGGCAGGGTATGTCCCAGTTTGTGACCTTGCCTTTGTCTCCTAGACAGGAAAGATGGTGAAATGCTTTTCATTTAAGCAGATAAATACATGTTATGTTTTAAAAATCTCCATTTCTATTATTTTATATTATGCCCTGTCAAAATGAGATAACTTTCTAATGAAGCTGATCTTTTTTTTTTTTTTTTACCAAGAAAAAGAGTGCAAAGCCGTGAAAATTTATTACTTCTGAGGGGAAACCATAGTGTTCTGAGGAATAACACAAAGAAGACTGATGGACCACAGTAGGATGCTGTTAGGTAAATACATCAATGAATGAGGATTCTTCTATATTTCCCAAACATAGTGTTTGAGGAAAAATTCTAAACTTCATGTAAGCATTTAATAAAATCATACTTTAATGTAAAACTTGAAAGAGTTAATACACTTTCTCAAACTTAACAAAGTTTCATATGCTAGGAAGTGCAATCCATTATTATTTTTTTTAAAATAGTCATTTTTAAGGGGCTGGAGAGATGGCTCAGCAGTTAAGAGCACTGACTGCTCTTGCACAGGACCCAGGTTTGGCTCCCAGTACCTACATGGTAGTTAACAACTATCTGTAACTCCAGTTCCAGGGGAATCCAACACCCTATTCTGGCATCCACAGGCATTGCATAACACAGGTGTACTTATGTACCTAGAGGCAAAACACTCATAAACATCAAAAATAAAAATAAAAAATTTTTTAAAGAGAAAAAAATTTATTTTAGGCTGTTCTCTTTTGCCTCATTTTTGCCTCATTTTGTTCTCATTTTTGCCTCAATTTCCTGTACTTCTAAGAAACCACAGGAACCACTGGTCTAAAAACAACTGCTTTAAGGGAGCTAGGAATTAAATGCCATTTCTGAATACCACAAAAGGAAGAAGGGAGGGCAGAAGTCACATTAATTCCCACTGACCTATTTTCACCTAGTCTTGAATGAAAAAGTTCACACCACAGAGAATCACACAAACACACAAGTCAACTTGAGAGAGAATGTGATCCTGCTTTTTACAAGTATTACACCAGAGGCAGTCTAATTAGGCTAACCATATAATTAATTCATTATGAATAAATTCAGACCTGCTTTCAGAAATAAATTATACCTTGGATAATTACTGTTGAATACTATCGTTTACTTAATTGGTGTGTGAATTATCCAAAAACCTGAACTTTCCTTTCTTATTATGCTTGTGACTATGTCTAGTTCAGCTTCAAACAAATTTGGTAACATAGTAACTTAATGAGAACAAAGTTCTTAGAAACCAATTTTGTTCCTAGAATGTGGAAAACATTTCTAATTTTAAATCTTTTGTGAAGTTGATACTTTATGTTAGTTACAATTACATCCTTCATTTCCATGTTCAGAACAACTTTCTTAACAAATCATATATACCTTTTACTGATACAAGCTGTCTCACAATGAGGATCAGAAAAAAAGATTACCCCTGAGTATTATAAATTATCCATGTACACTGGCATGTCTTCAGAAAGATCTGTGTGGAGAACAATCCAGATGCTTTCTGTACTCACTGGTCAGCATCTTTAATTCAACTTATTTATCTTATTCTACAACATACCCAGTAACTGCTCTAGACAAGAGCCATTGTTTGAATCCGAACTGTTTTCTCCATGCTTGGGTTTTGAATGTTTGTCCTCCAGCTGGTTGCACTGTCTCAGGGACTGTGGAATCTTTAGGAGGTGGGGCTAGCCTGTGGGGGGTAGGTATTAGGGACTGCCTGTGGAAGGTTATAACCCAGCTCTAGCTCCTGTAGTACTCTCTGCTTCCTGGTTTATCATGATGTGAACAGTCCTCCATGTTTCCACTGTCATACCTATCTCACGGGAATGGACTGAAGCTCTCTTAAACTGTGAGCCAAAGCAAGTTGCCCCTCCCTTGTTTCTGTCAGGTATTAAGCTCATAGTGGCCTGAAAGCAATAGCTGCAGGAAGTTATATATGAGCTTGAAAAAATAAATAAGGCTATAGCAACTTTCCTCTTCTGATTCTGTTCCAGCATATATGAGGAGATATAATGATTTCATAAACATATACTGGGCATCTACTAAGTGCTAAAACTGTAACTCTCTGGGGACAGAAAAGTGAATAAATATGATTTCATCTCTCAGCTCACAATCTTAGAAAAAGAAACAAACCACAAACCCAAATGATAATACATTGTGTTGGTGTGCAATGGGAGTTTTCAAAGAGTTCCAGAGAAACAAGGGGCTGGGACAGGAGGGATGGCACAATGAACAATTCTGGAAATCTTCCCATTTTCTTTTTTAAACACCTATTCATTTATATGTGTACATGTGTATGTGTATGTTTACATGCCTATACACATGTGAATATGTGTATGTGTGACAGTGCCTGGCACATGTGTGGAAGTTAGATGATGATCTGTGGGAGTCAGTTCTTTCTTCTCACTATGTGGTCCCAGAGATGGAGCTCGGGTCACTGGATTTGGTGGTGGCGGGAATCTCTAGCCACAGAGTCCTCTTGCTGGCACCTCTTCTCATCTTCTTAAACAAGAAAAGGCTTATGTTGTCTTGGTTGGGCACTACCTCTCCAGGCCTAGACAATCAGATGGCAAGACTGAACACAAACCTGTACCAGGCTGCTCTCTGGAATAGACGTGATGGCCTTAAAGCTAGTTCTTAGCTTCTCCAAGCACACGGGAACGTATTTATCGAAAAGAATAGTCAAATTGGCTTTTTCTGATTGATGACGCCTTCTGTCTATCCAGCTGGCCACATACCTGAAAAGAAACACAGAAAAGCTTTTACTGAACAAGAGCCTTGAAAAGCAGGATGCCACCGCATCCAAACTCCCCCTTCCACACAGCTTGGCGCAGCACTTCAAGGACATGTTTAGTGGGTTCACTCTATATCCCAAATGGCAAATATTTTTTAAATGGCTCTTTAAAGACTTGTTTTAATGGCCATTTTTACTTTAATGAAAAGAATGTAAAAGAAACTCCTAATAGCACTTAGAAGGCCAACATAATAGCACATAAGTAGGCCATTACTGAGCATTTATAGGAAGTGCAGTGTGTCATTTCCTAAAGGACCGAACTCTTTTCATGGTGGAGGCCTTATTTATGAAAACAGCTTGGCATTTTTCTTGATTAATCTTGGCATCAATTATTTAGTAATGAGAAATCATTTACAAATAAAGAGGTGAACATTCCATAGAGGCCACTTCACATGCCCTGCTTTTCCAATGGACTCTGTAACTCAAACCAGAGAGCAATAATCTGTTCCCAGCTGGGGCTCAGAAAGGCTATGTCCTGCCTTAATATATTGGTGTTTATATACTATACAGAATGTCCATTTCAAGCTTATAAAATGTTTGTTTTGATATATTAAATATCTCTACCATGTTAGTAAACTACTTACCAATGACACAAAGCCTAACTGAATGGCATCCTTAGTGGTCTCTGGAGTGCAACTAAGAGATGCTAAATGAAAAAGAATCCCTCGGAAAGTTCTGATTAAGTAGGAAGCAGTGGTAATAAATACATTCAGCAGCCTGCACATGAACAGTGCTGCCACAGAGCCATTACAGCTAGCCCTCACGATAAGCAAATCAGATTTTGCATTATGAATATGGTAGAAATGAAGGCAAGATGCCTGTTTTATCAAAGCCTTCCTGTGTTTTCTCCAGACTTCGCAGAAGGATCTCATGAAACACTTCAGAATCTTGGCTACAGTTCTCCAGTATGAATCTGTCAACAGACTTTTGGGCTCTTTTTAGCAAAAGGGTTTAGAAACAATGACACCCCCCCAATGCAGCAGTGAGCACAGGAGACCTAGTTTAGCTTCTAAGCACCGTTACTTACATATAAAGCTATCCCTTCTGGATGCTTGAACAAGGGCTGACTTTAGGTCTCAAGTAAGGAAAGTCTGAAATGAATCCAGAAATCAAAGTGCCCAAAGACTCAGAAAGGTATGTAAATTAGAAGAGAAAAAAAACGTTTAGATGAGCTTGAGAGGGTCCTTCTGGCAAAATCGATGGCAATCTAAGGATCCCAAAGAATCCTGGTAATTAGTTACATATTACTCACTGAACTAAAACAAACATGGGAAGAAAATGATAGGAAGATAGGAAAGAAAGAAGGAAGGAAGGGAAGACAGAGAAAGAGCAAGAATGAGAATGAGAAGAGGGAGGGAGGAAAACAGATGTGGCAAAAAGGTTCTTGACAGAGAAATATGTAGATGGAATGACTGATGAAGGAAATCATCACTTTGAAACCACAGATGGGACAATCTCTGGGAAACTTAGCTTGTGTTTCTTCTGTCCAAAAGTACCAATGCCATGAAAGAGTAATTTGGGGGAGTGTTCTAGATAAATGGTGACAAAAGAAATAAATGAAAAAAAAAAACAGTGATAGGTCTTAGTTTTGATGCTGGAATTTTTAAAAATACAGAGGAAATGACAGGAGTAACTGGCAAGATTTAAAAAACGGTTGTTTTTTCAAGGACAGATGTCTTAAGGATTATATTATATTCACAGAAGAGAATATTCTAGCTCTTAGAAAATGTCAAAGTGCATAGGGATGAAATGTCTTAATGTCTCCAACGTATGTTGAAGTATTTTTGCAAAAATTAACAAAAGACAACATGCCTCTATCTACATGTGCATGTATGTGTGTGTTTGTCAGCCAGGGACAAAGCTAAGGTGGTAAAACTGTGACCAGAGACTGTAGAAGAGGGTTTGTGGCTGTACCTTGTGCTACCCTCTCAACTGTCCTATAGTTTTGAACACTTGGAAGCAAATAGATACCCAAAATTAATACCTAAAACACAGTTTTGGAAAATGAGGCTAGTAAATCACTGATCTCCGAAGGTAAATATTGAACAAATGAATATGTACGGCTATCACATTATGACATTAAAGTAAATTGTAAATTTATCTGATAATTACAGAGTGAAAAAAATACCCTAACCTGAAATAGCCCTGTTCTGGTAGCTTATTGAAACTCTTTGGCAGCGGAAATAAAAAATAAAAAAATACTCCTTAGAGAAGATTTCCCCTATTCTGGAAATGTCAAGTTGGGCCTTTGGTCACACACAAGAAAATTTAAACAAATGCATTTATCTCTGATAATGAAATACTCCATAAAAGTAAAATCTAATGGCAAAGAGGGGCATTCTAACTCTCTCAAGAATACAAAGTGAATGTCTCTTGAAACCACCTGGGATCTTTGGTGCATGTCATAAAAGTCTTTCTTTAAATAAGGAGTTATTCTGTTCTATCATAAGCACAAGTCACAGTATGATATGCTTGAGTCCCAGGGGCAATGGGCTTGGGAGCCATGAGGGCCACTACTGAATCAGACCACAGTGTGAAGGGTGGGGAATTCCTAAGGAAAGTGAATGCTACCCTGTTGCACAAGGGAACCCTGCACTGTGTGGGGGGATTTGCAGGGGAATTGAAGGGCACTAGCAGGATTCCTTAAGCCAGTTTCAACCAAAAGAAACACTCCAGGAGCAGAATCCTACCTGGAGAAAGATACTACTAGCCCAGGAATAACAGCATTGTAGAGGTTTAAAATTCACTTCTCTCTGTTGACAAATTCAATGAAGCTCTATTGAAACCCAAAGCCCTGGACATGGCTCTGCTCTTTAAATACACAGAGGAAGAGCATCAGGCAGCATCTGGTAGGAGGAGGTGTCATTCTCAAAGTCAAGTTAGGGACAGGATGATTGAAAGGACCATCTATAAAGGTGAGAGCAGGGAGGAGAGAACCAGAGACAGCCAGAGTTTGGATCCGGAAGAAACCCCCCAAAACCCTGTTGTTAAAGGCTTGATCTTTAGCCTTTGACACTGTTAGGACATGGTGGCACCTGTAAGATATGGGGTCCAGCAGAGGTATGACGTCACTGGGGCATGTCTTTAAAAAGGACTGTGGAGCCCAAGTCTCCTCCTTTCTCTCTTTGATACTGTGGTTATGAGAACAGCTCTGCTCTACAAACAATTCTCTCCCTGCTGTTATATAATGTACTACTTCATCACAGGCTCAAAACAAAGAGAACAAGTGATGAGAGACTGGAGTCTAAGCCAGCTTTCTTTCTTGTAAGCTCGGGAATTCTCAGGGATTTGCTATAGCAAGGGAAGCTGACCAGCACAGGCTGATAGCAAGGAACACTGGGACATGAGAATGGGCAACTAGCAGGACCTGGAGGAAGGCGACTCCAGGTAGAAGCAAAGGAGGTGGTGACCTGAGCTGAGGTCCACAGCCATCCTGACACAACCCTGTGGAGAGAGACCAGGAAATGAATAGCCTGACCTTACTCTCTTCTCTCCCTCTCATTTCCTACCAAGGCTCTTTGTGGGTCAAAGAAACCAGAAGCCAGAGGCCAGGGAGCCCAGTGATGTGATTATGTGCCCAGTGTCATGAGTAGAGACAAGGTGCGGAGGGTTGACAGAGGGCTCTGATGCAGGAGTATGTGGTCACCCACAGAACTCAAAGGTTCTTACTATGAGAGTAAGAACACTGTGGGAGGCACATGACCACACAACTGCAAAGGGTGATCATCTGGCAGGAGGCAAGGGACACAAAAGCCTTGCTCCAAATAAAGCCTTTTCACTGTCCAAACATATCTGCATATTATATGCATTAAATTATTTATTTATGCCTAAGAACTTCAAATTCTATATTATTTATTCACTTATTCAACAAATATTTACTGAGTGTTTAGCACTTGCAGTGTGTGGCCAAGGTAATATGTGAGTAAAAATGACTTAAGCTCCCAGTTGCTAACATAGTTATCTTTAAATTAAATTAATTAGCTTTAAATTTAATTACCATTATCTTCTTCAAATCATTTTAAATGAGATTAAAAAAATAAATATTCACAATGAAAAACATCTGATTATAAAATGGACACAGGACTTGTATATCTCTTTACTCAAAGACACACAAATGCCTAGTGCACACATGAACACGCCCTATACACACAGCACTAATGTGTTCACTAGAGAAATGCAGTCCAACTACAGCAAGATACCACCTCACACCAATCAGCGTGGCTACTAGAAAAGCAGGCAGAGAGGAAAAAACTAAAATAAAACTGAAAATAGCAAGTGCTGGCAAGGATGTAGAGATACTGTGTACCCTCCTCGTACATCGCTGGGAGGAATGTAAAAGGGCATGGCCACTGTGGAAAACACTACAGCATGTCCTTAAAACCTAGAAACAGACTTAACATTTGATCTAGTAATGCGGCATATATACACACAGGAACTGAAAACTGGAAGCTGAAGAAGTCTATGTATTTGCATGTCCATAGCCACAGCTGCCATATTCACAATGGTTAAAAGGCGGAGGCCTGAGTGTTCATCAACAGACAAATGTATAAATGTGGGATTACATACAGCTCAGTATTATTCAGTCTTAAAAAGGAAATAGATTCTGACACATGCCACCACATGGATAAACTTCAAAAGCATTACACTACCGAAGCAAGCTTGTCACAAAAGGAGACATGCTATATATTTCTACTTACATGATGTACCTGGAGTACTCAAACTCAGGGACAAAAAGTGGGAAGAAGGCTGTTAGGAGATCAGGCAGGGTAAGAATGAGGAATTACTACTTAACAGTCACAGAGTTTCAGTTTGGGAAGATGGAGTAAGTTCTGTGGGTGGTGGTGACGGTTGCACAATAGTATCAGTGTATCTATGTCATGAATTATATGTGCCCTTACGAATGGTTAATAGGATAGATTTTATGTTATAGACATTTTTCACTACAAAAAATATTTAAGAAAAGAAAGAAATGCTCACGGATTCCAGCCCAGATCCTGTGGGTTCACATACAGAATACCAGCTCTGGAGACTGTGGCTGGGGTAGCTGTCCTCAAGTGATGGATCTCGAATAGAAGCCTCATGGAGGGAGTGAGAGCTATGCGTTCATTGCTGGCCAGGGTCAGCACCTGGAATGAGCAGTTTGTGGTGGTCACTGGAGGCAGGCCACCACCAGAGGCAGGCAGCCACCAGAGGCAGACTGCCACCAGGAGCAAGAGGAGTGGCCAACGTACCATCATAACCTTCGCTGTCCCTAGAAAGAGAGCCACAGATTGGACTCATCTGAATTCAGATCTGAGTCTACCCAAAGGCAGCCTGGCCAACCCTTGAGGAATAAAATCTTCTTAATGAACTCATGAAGGCCAACCCTCAAGTCACTATAGCAATAGTTACTAATTCAAATATAAGTGGGCTGTATAGTAAGACCTGAATTCCATGAAAAATAAATCTTTTGAAATCTAAATTACCAGAGCCATCAACTGTCCTATAGGAGCTCACACATGTGTGAAGGCCCAGACCTCTGTTTTCTGATGTCTTTGTTCAGAAAGCAGTGGCCACTGCTAAGGTGGTCACTGATTCTACCTTGGAGTAATGATGGCTCCTGATTTCTCTTTCTTGCCCACAACAATAGGCCTTGTGTTGCCTATTTGGTATCACGTGGTCCTTACGACCACCTCTTGGTTATACAGTGTTTGCAGGATTAACCACAGCAACATACTTGGGAAAGCATTTAAACACAATCTGTAGTCATAGCAACAACTTAATTTCCATACCTAAATTTCATCAGTTATCATATGGCACAGAATCATTCTTTTATTGTTTATGTATTCAATATTTAATCAAAGACCGCAAAACATATGGGAATTTATATGTAGTTCCTAGAAAATGATGACAGGTAAAACTGAATACTTAGCTATGCATCTAATTCTCATAAAAGGTGACTTAATTCAGAGTCAAGGAGATTGCATTCCTTCAAATTCTTTAACTATGAATTATGAAAAATGGCAATTTTCGAAATAGTGGTTACGTTTTTAAAAATGAAGTTAATGAGCAAAAGTGAGTATTAAGATCAGCAAGTTAACAGAGCTCTGAAGGCCCTAGGAGGTTAGATCGAGGCTTAGCTCTGTATATCGTCACCTTGTTATCATCCATGACCGTGTTCAGTGATTCAATCCACATGGGGTCAATGTCCCCATCCAGGACGACCCACTTTGGCCCATCATGCATGAGATTTGCCTGTTCTCGCAGGATGGATGAGAAGAGACCTATGAAGTAAGAGCAAGCAATGCTAAGACAAGCTGGCATTAAGTGTTTATTTTAAAAATACATTTTATTAGTATCCTGGAAGAGCTTTTATGAACTAAATAAAAGCAAATTTGCTGCCTCTGTCTTACGAACAGTGAACAACCTTTCTGAGCTTTCTGAGTGGTGCCATATGCAATCCTGCTACTTATTAATGTCAAATTTCCACTCTAAAGGAAGGATCCTTACTTTCCTGTCTGTGAAACACAGAACAATGCTTTCCTTAAGGAATAGTTATGGGATTCACAGACAGTAATGTACAGAAAATCAAAAGCTCATCTCTGAAGACATTCTTTTTCATGTATAGTTCAGTATCTATTTTAGACTACATATTGGCATAGTTCACCTTCATTTTCTATAACATTATTCAAGGGACACGGTTTTCAAGATTAAAAGTGTTACGTAGGTCTTTCACAAAATTGGTTATTATCACTATATCATCGTGACTTAACAAGACGTACAAAACATCTTCATGTGGGGTTCTTTTGTTATTATCACATATCTGAGTATTGTGTTGTTGACCGTTCAAACTCCAACAAACCATGCTGAGCACATGCTGTACACTGTTTCGGTGTACAGATGTGGAAAATTTCCTCTATGAAGTACTTTGTATAAAAAATACACTATAGCAGCTTGTAGAATTAGTCACTACGATTGACATGGAAGCCAGCAACTTTTTCTAATGATCCTCAGTTCAAACAGCTTCGACAGGGGCTGGAGATATGGCTTAGTACTTAAGAGGTCTGGTTGCTCTTCCAGGGGACCCAGCTTCACTTCCTAGCACTCACATGGCAGCTGAAAAGGTCTGTAACTCTAGTTCCAGGGGATCTGACCCGCTTTTCTGACCTCTGCGGGCACTACACAACACAGGTGCACTTACATACATGCAGGCAAAACACTCATACACATAAAAATAAATTAGTTCTTTAAAAAAATCAAACACTAGGGCTGGAGAGATGGCTCAGCAGTTAAGAGCACCGACTGCTCTTGCAGAGGACCTGGGTTC